GGGGGGGGGGGCGGAGAAGGGGTCCTGGGAGCTGCAGAGTGGGGCCGGGGGGACCGGGGAAAGGCCGGATGGGGGGAGAAGAGGGGCTGGACGGGGGCAGAGGAGGAGGCCTGGGGGGCGAGGGGGGGGGGGACGGGAAGGGTCCTGGGAGCAGCAGTGGGGGGACGGGAGGGGCTAGGCGAGAGGAGAAGAGGGGCCGGACAGGGGATCGAGGAGGGGGCCTGGGGTGCGAGGAAGGGAAGGGAGTCGACCCGGGGGCCCTCTCTGGGGAGCGGGGAGCATTTGGAGGGCGCTGGTGCTGGTCCCGGAGGAGGTGGCTTCCCTTTGCGGCTGGTCTCTGGGTCCGGGTTACAGTTGCCCGCGCGTGCAAGGAACTCCGTAGCCCGTCCCTGGCGGGTCGTAAAGACAGGCGGGGTCTGGGTGGCCCTTCCTCCCTTGGCGCAGAAATGCTGCCTGGGCCGTCTGCGGGGGCGGCGGGCAGGCCTGGCCCTCCAGGTGAGCGCAGGGCATCTAAGGCCATTCGGGATGCCTTGTGGATGGGCGGCTAGAATTTTGGCCTCTGGTCTCTGGGATCCCTCGTTCTCTCCAGAGCCGAGCTGGCTCTATCTTCCTCCCTGGAAGTAAGCCTGAAGGCCCTGACAGGCACCCATAGGAGGTGCCAGCCCTATTGCCCCCCTCCCCCCACCACTCAAGTTACCACCGTCTCTGCTTATAGGCCCAGCTCCGGGGTTACCGGGAGGCAGGCACTGCCCTCCCACATTCCGGAGGGGGACACTTTTAGGCTCTGGGGGCCTCAGCGGTAAAGGAAGGAGAATCATGTGAGGCAGGCATCTCCCCCGGGACCCTGAACATCCAGGCTGAGGATAGACTGCCCCTGAGGAGGCTTGCTGGAGGAGGTCTTCCTCCTAAAGGCCTGGGAGAGAGCCGGGCGGCTGGGGGTGGGACAGACGGCTGACCAGGTCCAAGGATGGGGAGGTGCCCTCCTGACCTCTGTGCCCCCAGAGTCTTTCCCTCATCGCTGGCCTAGCTCAACCCTTCCTTCTCCTGCCCAACCCTTCCTTCTCCGTGTGGGTGGCTGCTGCAGCCCACCCCAGCAGGGCTCCGGGCCTGCCCTCGTAGCGTGTCTGCTCCTCCCCACCCAGCTCCAGCAGGACACGGACACATGTCTCCCCGTAGCCCTAGCGCTGAGACGGTCCCAGCGCATAGGAAGCACCGGTGTTTGTTACTTGCACACATCTGCCCCAGGTTTACCAACCAAGAAGCTGTCAGGCAAGCTGAGTAACTTGCCTGAAGGCACAGGGCTCAGAGTGACTGAGGTCTGACTGCAGGGGCCCAGGACAGCCATCTGCCTTTCTCTCAGCTCTCCCTGCCCAGCCCCGTGTCTCCTTGGCTCCTCCTGCAGGGCCTCCGCTGCAGATGGCGGAAGGGTGGGCCACCATGCCTGTGCTTGGCCCTGGGTGGCCCCAAGCCAGGTGTGACCCCGCCAGCTCCCTGTGATTCGCTCCTCACCAGGAGCCCAACCCCCACCCCCTCCCAATCCAGACCAGGTGCAGGGAGAGAGGGTAGGGCAGGAGGCGGGGTGTGAGTCCGAGCCCCACCCTTGGGCGAACCATGCCTGATCTCCAGCCCGGTGGGGTGGACGAAGGGAGGCCTGCCCGGCCTGCCTCCCACGGCTGCTGCTCTGAGGCTCAGGAAATGCGGATGGGACACTGCTCTGGAAACCCTGCCACAGGGCCTGCGGGGGCCGGTGTCCCAGCTGCAGCATGTGAAGGATGGCAGGGAAGTGTGGGTGGGCGTACAGGGCCTCAGCAATGCCAGCCTCCCTCCCAGGGCCTCCTTCCGTGGCTTCTGGGGGCTGGGTTCCTCCTGTCCCTCCCAGGTTATTTATTTAGAGACCCTTTAATGCCACACATCAGCCCGTGAATTCAGGCCCGTAGCCAGAGATGACTGGGGCCCCACCTCTGCAGGGTGGGGGGCAGGGGGGGCGTGGGGTCAACTGCAAAACACTGACAAGGCCTGGAGGAGGGGCCTCGGATGTGACTGTTTGGACACAGGGCCTTCAAAGAAGTAATTCAGGTAAAATGAGGCCACCTGACTGGTGTGCTCACCAGAGGAAGTGTGGACACACGGGGAGACCAGGAGAACTCACACGCGTTGGGTCCGCCATACGAAGAGGCTGGCGGCCTATGAGCCAGGGAGAGAGGCCCCAGAGGAAGCCAGCACACCAGCGCCTTGACCTTGCGCTTCTAGCCTCCAAACTGAAACGGTGAGAAAATACGTTTCTCCTGTTTAAGCCGTGCTGTCCGTGGTGGTTTGCAGCCCCTTCCGCCCTGGGGGGCCTGGAGTTCTGGGGCTGGCGAGGAGGGACCTGGCCGGGGCAGGACCCCTCGCTTGTACGCAGGGGAAGAAGGAAATGCAGCGAAGGCCGAGTTGGCAGAAGACAGCGCTTCCTGCAGTCGGCTGGGTGGGAGGAGGGCCGGGCAGGGGGTCAGAGCCCACGTGAGCGCTGTGTGCCCGTGACGGTGAGCGTGGCACTGGGGCCCCGAAGCAGGTGCCAGGCCCCTGCTGTGTGCTAAGTCCCGGTGGGGCCGGCACGGGCGAGCTCTGAAGGCACCCAGCAGAACAGCCAACGTGAACCTCCAAAAGGCCAGGGCCACCCAGCCCTTGGCACTCGGGCTGTGCCCTCAGCCCCCCTGATGGCCCCCTGGCCCCCTCTCTCACCTCTGTCCTGGCAGGAATGCCTTTCCAGGGCTGGCCCAGATGCCGTGCCTGTAACGTCTGCCTGGGAACCCCCTACTCGGCCTCTCCTTCGCCCCCCTGTCATGCCACAGAACCCCCAAGCAGCTCACCCCGTGAGGCTTCCACTCAAGCCGCCCCTTGTGTGGCCCCAGTCCCACCTGTGGTGCTGCAGGACAGTGTTGGTCCCCAGGCCGTCACTGGCCCACTGTGTGCATGGCTGGCCCCAGCCCTCCACGGGGGCTAGACATGCCCTGGATGCCAGCGAGGCCAGAGGGCATGCACTCAGCCCCTCAGACGCAGCCCTACCACCTGTCCCTGTCCCAGGTCCAGTCCGCAAGCTTGAGCTGCAGACATCCTGACCAGCAGCGGCCAACACCCACCACCCTGTCCACCGGCCGGCCCCTCCTGGCCACCAGCGGGGACCTGGAGCTGGCAGCACCTTCTAGCACCGTCTCCCACGGAGCCTCTGACCTACTTTGCCCGTGTCCCAGAAGCCGCTGGCCTTCTTTACTGTGACACAGCCACCTGCTTATCTTTCCAGGCTTCCTCCCCAGGAAGTCAGCCACGTGACTTGGCGCTGGACTGCCGCTGGGTGGGGCGGGGGACACCTGCCCCCGTGCACACCGGCTGCCAGGAATGCCGCCCTCTGCCCTCCGCCCTCAAGGAGGGGCCTTCCACCTATGGCCTGTCGAGGCCGATTGCCTGGAAGACACGTCCTGGGCCCAAAGAGGCCTGGACGCGTAGAGGGTAAGCTGATAATTTACAAAACGTTCGCCCTCACGTTGCACACACATGTGACCCCGACGGTAGCGGCTAGAAGTGGGAGTTAGTTACCCCGTTCCACAGATGCAGAGACTGAGACCCACCGGACTAACCTCACCTGTTCAAGTTACACAGAAAGGGAAACGGAGGGGTGGGTGCTCCAGGGTCCCACTGGTGTGGGAGAGTCTGAAACATGAGAACAGAAGGCCCACAGGAGCTGCAGCCGGCACCCTCAGCAGGCATTGCCCCCCACCCCTGCTCCGGGCGCCCCGGTGGGGGCCTCTCTGTTCCACCCCCCGGGGCATGCCGGACCTGCCCACCGAGGAAAGCCCGGGGCAGGGCTGGAATCGAGGGTGGCCCCCAAGGGGTGGTGGCCACAGGGTGGGAACTGGAAAGCCTGGTGAGGTGGGGCCGGCCGGCCACAAAGAATACCACAGGGGGGCAGGGATCAGGACTGCTGGCACGTCTGGGAGCTGTGGGGAGTGCCACGGCAGGGGGAGGGCCCCAAAGGCCGGTCTCGGGCTCGGTCTGGATCCTGTAGGCTCCCCAGGCCTGCCAGGGTGACCGCCTCCATTGGCGGGGTGCCCAACACTTCCCGGGAGCCCAGGGACCAGGGTCAGGGGGCTCCAGGGGCCGGCAGGGGACCTGGGAACGGAACAGGGCTGTGGGGCCCTGAAGGCCTTCCTTGCATCCATGCTGTCCCGATGGGGGGCAGACCGGTCCGCTGTCCCTGGGGGGTGCTGTTGGCTCAGAAGCAGACCCTCCCAGGGAAAAGGCTGGCTCCCGTCGGGTGAAGTCTGGGGCAGTTCAGGGTGGGAGATCCCTCCTCTCCAACCCTGAAGCCAGAAGGAATGTGGGCATCCCAGTGGGCCCGAGAGTCACCTAAGAGTGGGGGGGGGGGGGGGGGGGGGGGGGGAGGGGAGGGGAGCTGAGGCTCAGGCAGTGAGGGCGTCTTCCACAGGCGAGCCTGCCCGCCCAGGGCCTGGGGTCAAGTGTCCACTTCTGGCTGGTGCAATGTGGCCTTGGATCCTTTTAGGGGGTGCAGACTTGGAGACAGGTGCCCGGGGAGGCCCCCGGGGTGGCACCTGTGACCCAGGGAGGAGCCCTGGTAAGGTGGAACAGGGGTTGGGGCGGGGAAAACCTGACCTTGTGCCCAGGGCTTCAAGAGACAGAGCAGAGCAGAAGCCGTAAACTATGATTTTCAGACAGATAAGGAGAGGCGGAGAGTTCGCTCTCGCATGCTTGTCTTTTTATATGTGTGATCTCTGAAGGAATTGAGAGGGAAGGAGGCAGTGATCTGAGCAGTGGGGGTGGGGGAGGGGCCCTGGTAACTCCGTAAACGGGGCGGGGGGGGTGGGGTGGGGGGGGCAGGGCACAGGTGGGTCTGGGGACAGGAGAGGGCAGAACAGGGCTGCTTTTGGAACCTGCTGCACGGCCACCGCCACAGAAGGAGAAACATGCTTCAAACAAGCCCACAAAGGTGTAAATAACACCTTCTGGAGGAAAGAACAAACAAACAGTCTGTGTTCGATCCAAAAGTTTTGCAGCACGGACACAGAATAGAGAACTGAGTCCCCAAACGAAAACATGAAGGAAGAGAGAGAAGAAAGATCCCTGGAAACCTCGTGAACCGCAAGCCGATCTCAGAGGACTGCTGCAGTCAGCTGCTGTGGGGCCAAGGCACCCCCCCCCCCCCCCGAGAGACTGCCGGGCAGTGAGGACCCCATCCACGGACGCACAGGCGGGGAGGGCAGTGGGGAGGATGAAGGTCAGGCCAGGGCTGGCCCCTCATTCCGTCTGCGTAGACAGAAGCATGAACACCAGGGAGGAGAAAGGGACCAGCCTGAACCTCGGGCGTCACGTCTGGACCCTGGGAACGGGGTCAGCTCAGGGCACCTCCTTACGGGGCACTTCCGACGGGGAAGCTGAGGCCACAGCCTCTGAGGAGGTACAGGAGTGGTTCAAGCTCACGGAGCCCTGCCGGGTGCCAGGTACCCCACCTTGCACGCTGAACCAGACAAGAAAAGGAGGGACGTTCCGCCTGACTCTGAGGGCGCCTAGCAGAGGGTCCGGCCTGGCCCAGGGGGTCAGCAAGGCTTGGGAAAAGGGTGCAGAGTTGAGCTCCGGAAGGAGAACGAGGGGACACGGGGTTGGTAAATTAAAGTCCTAATAGAAGGGTGCATCTCACAACTGCAGAGCTTAGCCAGGGAACCGGACTCATGGAGCCTTGTGGTGGCAACAGAGTCTACCTTGAATGGATACCTCACTCTGTGCCAGTAGGGCCCCCGGGGGACCGCGTTTGTTGGAGATAAAGCCAGTGGTCCCATTTTACAGATTAGGGAGATGAGGCCCAGGGGGGCAATCTGCGACAGGAGCTGGGCTTTGAGGCTTTGTCTGAGCCAAAACATGCAGCTTTAGTGTCTCCAGGCAGGCTCCCAAATCAGGGCGGGGGCCAAGGGTGGGCTGGCCCAGGCTGGGCGGGACCACTTCGGCATTTTGATTGTTTTAAAGAAAAGTTACTTGGGGCGCCTGGGTGGCGCAGTCGGTTAAGCGTCCGACTTCAGCCAGGTCACGATCTCGCGGTCCGTGAGTTCGAGCCCCGCGTCGGGCTCTGGGCTGACGGCTCAGAGCCTGGAGCCTGTTTCCGATTCTGTGTCTCCCTCTCTCTCTGCCCCTCCCCCGTTCGTGCTCTGTCTCTCTCTGTCTCAAAAATAAATAAACTTTGAAAAAAAAATTAAAAAAAAAATAAAGAAAAGTTACTTAAGAGACAACCAGTGCAAGAAGGACACTCTGACCCTCCTCCGTCCCCCTGAAAGCGGGAAGTCCATCTCCCTCTTGGAAGGTACGGTCCCTGGACCAGGAGGTAAAAAACGATCCTTATCACCAGAGATAAGAAATCCAGGGCTCAGAAGACTGTCCACACAACGCTTGTTACTTCTTGCTAGCGTACTCCCCTAGCCCAGAGTCTGTTGAAAACGCCGTCTAACTGCGGCCCCCCAAGTTCCATTTTCTTTGTCCTGCCGATTCCTCCCAGGTTTACATCTCTCTGAAAAGTGTAAGAACTGCCCGCCTCGGTCATTTCCTGAAGCCTCAATTTCCTTACTGGGCCTCCCTGCGCACGTCATAAAACTCTGGGGTTTTTTTTTTCCTGTGAATCTGTTTCCTGTAAATTTAATTCTCAGTCCAGCTGGAAGGCCCCGAAGGGCAGAGGGAGAATTTTTCCCTCCCCACATGAGAAACCGAATCACAACAGCAAGATCTTTTTTTGTTACGGAAACATCCAAGAAACCCTCAACCAAATGAAAAGATAAACCAGAACCCCCACTAAATGGTTTCTCGGGTGCCCTAATAGCACAGGGCCCAGGGCTTTGTTCACGTGGTGGGGGGAAGTGTCCCACGTGGGGCATCTGCTCACCAGGCTGCCATTCCCAGGTGAGGGGACAAGGGACTTTGGCAGACAAACCAGGTCTAGGGAAACTTACAAGGCTTGTTATCTTATCTCCAAAACTCCTTACAGGAAACTCCTGCAATGAGCTGACATTAAAAATTCCATCTAGACCCGGGGCATCTGGGGTGCCTGAGTGTCTCAGTCGGTTGGGCCTCTGCCTTCAGCTCAGGTCACGATCTCACGGTCTGTGAGTTTGAGCCCCGCGTCGGGCTCTGTGCTGACAGCTCAGAGCCTGGAGCCTGGAGCCTGCTTCCGATTCTGTGTCTCCCTCTCTCTCTGCCCCTCCCCCTCTCATGCTGTGTCTGTCTCTCTCTCACAAAAATGAATAAACGTTAACAAATATATAAAAAGTTGCGTCTAGGTCTATTAGGAGCATTGTTACACAGCCCAGGAAAGACAGAGTGTTCCCACAAAATTCCTGGAACTGGTTGGTCTCTCTGCTTCCATTAAGCATCCAAAGGGATCCTCTTTAGATGGAAATCCAGATTACGTCCCAATCCCTCCCTGCTGTCTCCAGGGCTCTCCTTGCTGGCTTACCTCCTCTCTGCACCTGGTTTACTGTTCCCCAGCCAAATCCTCTCCCTGATATTTCTTGAACAGCCAAGCATGATCCCACCCCAGGACCTTTGAAAGTGCGAGTTCCTCTTCTGTCAACATTCTCCCCACCCACAACCTCAGCTGGTTGCACGGTCCAGATCTCCCTTCGCTCCTGTCTCTGCTTAAATGTCAACGGAGGAGGACATTTCTCTGGGGGAGAGACCCTATAAGACGAGTAGGGGGCTTTGGGGGAGCAAGGTACAGAGCCGGCCAGTCCTCCTATGACTGGCCTCCACCTGCTGGATTCCGAGGAGCCCTGTGGATTGGGCCTTGGGACTGGTGAACCCGGTTGTATCCACATGCTTCCTTCCCCGACCCTAGGAGTTCATTCCACTGCACTTCCCTTGCAAGAGTCTGGCCTTTGTTCCTGCAGATGTCACAGGCCTGGTGTCAGAGAAGGGGACAGAAAGCCAGCAGAGCCTGGCACAGTAGGCAGGTCAGACCCGCCTGAGGCTGCTGGAGACAAAGGTGGGTGGTGAGGCTCGGAAGAGGCATGGGAGGTGGCAGGTACAGGCTGGGAGGTCTGGGAGGCCAGGGGCCTCTTCCTCTTTGCGTCCTTGGTGCTAATGCAGAGCAGGGCCAAGTGCAGCAATTTGCTAAGATGCTGCGAGCGAGTGAAAATGCGAGCACAGGAGAGTCAGTGGAGCAATTTTAAGTTGAGGCAAAGTTGAGTTCAAAGCAGGGGTTATATGTAGAAACACTGGGACAGACATTAGGGAATGGCGGGGACTGAGGCAGACCAGACAGCAGATTGTTGGAACCTCCCAGAGAAGCCGGAAACCACGTTTGTGTGTGTGCGCACATGAAACCTTGTGACTTCTATTATTTTATTATTTTTTTAATGTTTATTAATTTTGAGGGAGAGAGAGACAGAGAAGGGAAGGAGCAGAGAGAGAGAGAGAGAGAGGAGAATTCCAAGCAGACTCCCGCTGTTGGCATAGTGCCTGACGCAGGACTCGAACTCACGAACCGTAGATTGTTACCTGACCTGAAATCAAGAACTGGACGCTCAGCCGATGAAGCCACCCAGGTGCCCCGAAACCTTGTGAATTTTAAATGTTGGCAACTAATTCCAATCCAAAATGTAAAACACTAGGCAGGAAAATAAAACCCAGATGCAGACCGGAGGCATTCAGAGACCAGCCCGTTTGTGACACCTGGCTTGAAACCACAGGAGTTAGGCTAGACATAAAAGGTTATTATTTGGGGTGCCTGGCTGGCTCGGTCAGTAAAGCGTGCGACTCTTGACCTCGGGGTTGTAGGTTCAAGCCCCACGTTGGGTGTAGAGACTGCTTAAAAATAAAGTCTTTAAAAAAATGGTTATTATTCGTTGATAGGGACTGATGAATACATAACAGTATGCACATATTCCCAAAGAGTGAAGAAACAAAATCGTAAAGGAAAGGGTTCTAGAAGTGCGAGGAGAAAAAATAATGGCATGAATGTACCTTGTGCTTGTGGATCCAGCCAGCACAGGGGCAGACATGCTTAGTGACAGGCACAGAGGCCCACGCTCCAAGATCTCGGTGCAGAACTCACTCTGGAGGCAGGAGTGGGCAGCACCCTGTGGGAGCTGTAGCCCCGGGTGGGGGTGGGGTGGGCTGGGCTGGGAGGAGAGTCTGAGTTAAGCCAAGTGACAGTGACAGGGGCCCAGAAAAAGCTGCTGGTCAGCGGTGGCTGGGGCCTCGCAACCACTCATCTACTTTCCGTCCTGATGGATTTGTCTGTTCTAGACATTTCCTAAGAACGGAATCACCCGATATGTGGACTTCTGTGGCTGGTCTCTTCTGCCTTGCGTGACGTTTTAAAGATGTGTCCGTGTTGGAGCGGGCATCGGTACCCCATGTATCTTATGGCCCAATGATAGGCCATTGTACGGACGGACCATGTTGTATTTATTCGGTCACCAGTTCACTGACTTTGGGGCTGTTTCGGCTCTTTAGCTGTCATGAATAATGCTGCTATGAATGCTTGTGGTGGGTTTTTCTGTGAACATGTCATTTCTCTTGTGTATATACCTGGGAGCGGAATGACTAAGTTATAGGTTAACTCTGTGCTTAACCTTTTGGGGAACCACCAAACGGTTTTCCTCAGGCGCTGTACCATTTTTCACACCCACTGGCTGGGCACAGGGATCCCAACTTCTGCACATCCTGCCCAGCACTTGTGTTCGCCCGTCTTTCTGATTCCAGCCATCCTCGTGGGCATGACAGGATGTCTTGCTGTGGCTCAGCCTGGCTTTATCAGGAATGACGCTGACAATCTGACCTGTTTTTGGCTTCTGCGTCTTGTCTCTCACTTGGTTCTGAATGTGGAGGGGGTGTTCTTTGCCAGCCCCCCACATCCCAACCCCTGCCTCTGTGTCTCCTCTGGGTAGAACTCATCGCACCTTCCGTGGGGCACACTGTCTCATCATAGACTTCTATTTCGGCCCCAAAACCCGTGTCCATTCATTTATTTTCCTTCTCAGGGGCGAATTCCTCAATGGCAGATACCCCAACGAGCTGCATATTCACTGGGGCCCGGTGGATAAATCTCTGGGCTCTCAAGTGCCACGATTGATTAGTGATGTCTGTCACGGGTAGGGAGGGAGCTCCCCCACGGGAGGCTGTGTTGGGTCAACTCCCCGGAAAGCTCCGGGGTGCAGAGTCTGACGGTGGCCTCCCTAGAAAGGCTTTCACGAGACCACAACAACCGCGGCAAGACTGAGATCTGAAAGAGCCACTATCCGGAGAATCATGGGTGAGATAAATCAAACCTGTATCCTATACCAAAATCAAAGACGATTTGCAAATGGCCAATGGGCACATGAAAAGATGCTCAATATTAGGGACATGTAAATCAGAACCACCGTGAAATATCACTTTACGCGCACTGGGATGCTGCGGTAAAGAAACGGGAGCGAACAGGGATTGGTGTGGACATGGAGGGATTGGGGTCCTCGTGCATTGCTGCGGGGAGCCAGAGGGGGGCAGCTCCTGAGGCGGCAGTTTGGTGGCTCCTCGAAACAGCAGTAAAGAGAGTTACCCTGCGATCTGGCAATGATCTGAAAGCAGGGACTCGAACAGGTACTTGTACGTACGTGTTCACGGCAGCACGACCACAACAGCCAAAGTTGTAGACGACCCAAACGTACGCCAACAGACGAATGGAGGGACCAAATGCGGTGTATCTACACGTGGTGTGATCCCGTTTAAGTGAAGGATGCAGAAGAGGCACATCCATGGGAGCGGAGAGTAGAGGAGTTGTTGCCAGGTCCGGCCAGGGGGACTAGGGGAAGCCTGTTGGTGGGGACGGGAGCGATAAAAACACTCTAAAATACACAAAAACGCGAATTTCCTAAATGTCACTGAATTATGCACTTTTAGGTGTATTTATTTATTTTTGAGAGAGAGAGAGAGAGAGAGAGAGAGAGAGAGAGAGAGAGAGAGAGACAGCAAGTGCACTAGTGGGGGAGGGGCAGAGAGAGAGGATCCCAAGCAAGCTCTGCATTGTCAGCGCAGAGCCTCACGTGGGGCTCAAACCCACAAAACCGTGAGATCGTGACCTGAGCTGAAACTAAGAGTCGGATCCTTAACCTTCTGAGCCACCCAGGAGCCCCTACACTTTTTTTATTTTTATTAAGTTTATTTACGTAATCTCTACACCCAACATAGGGCTCGAACTCATGCCCTGGAGATAAAGAGCTGCCAGGTGGCCCTGAATTGCATACTTTAAATGGTGCTCACTTGAGCGGTTTCAGCTGTGTTTTTCTGCCGCTGGTGTGGTGGATGGCAGTGAGGACCCCTGGGGTCCCCGCCTGGCTGTGCAGGTCGAGGGGGGGGGGGGGCCCAGCCAGGGTCTGCAGCTGATACTCCAAGGGTTTCCATGACTTCCGGAGCCCCTCTGGCCCTCCCCCCTTCAGACCAGCCAACAACCCACCCGGCCAGGAAGGCGCCCCACCCCAGGTTAAGCAGCCTGTCCCGGGTGAGGGGCTCCCCGGGCCTGCCTGCGACCCCCGCACCCTGGTGAATCTTTCCATTTCGAGTGGGCGGTCGTCCCAGGCTGCCCTGATCCAGGTTTCGTAGCCTCCCCCAGGCATGCAGCTGGGCCGCTGGGCCCCTGGGCCCCAAGCCGTCCAGCTGGGTTCATCTCGGGTGGCGCTGGCTGGGTGACCTCATTAGGGTCTGGAGCAGAAATAGAACAGGCAGCGCCAATTAGCGGCTGCACGTGAGCCGCGGGCGGGCAAGTCCGCCACAGCCTCCCCGCACGTTTGTGGGTCATGGAAAATTCCACACGCAACGTTCTTGCCCCGGTAGGTGGGGTGCCGAGTGCGCCCCGCCCCCGGGGACACACCCACTTTTGCCTCCTGCTTGTCCACAGGCCAAGGTTGAGGGTGCGTGGAGCAGGGGAGGCGCGACCCCCAGAGACCCTGATTCGCTGGGGTGGGGGGCGGGATGAGGGCCTGCACATCCCCGCTCTCCCCAGCTGACCTGGAGGTAGGCGGTCCTCAGGCCGCTGGGCGAGGCACAGTGGGGTCCCGCCTCGCCCAGGGCCAGGCCCCGAACCTGCTCTGTACCCGGGCCCGGGGGGCCACCTGGTCACCGCCCAGCCCCAGAGGCCAGCTGGCGTGTAGCTGCCTGCACGGGGCCTGGCGGAGAGTCTGGCTCCGTGTTGCTGCTGCTGCTGAGAGCCAGCCTGTCTCTCTGGGCCAGAACTCTAGCCTCTCAGACACACAGGCAGCTGGTGTGGGGGGAGCCCTGGCTGGGTGCTGAGGGACATCTTCTGGCCCCAGGCCGCTCCGGTGGCCAACCAGGTGACCTTGGGCCATTCCCCTTGCCTTGCTGGGCCCCACTTCCCTTCAAAGTACACATGGGGGCCAGAGAGACTCTCAGGGTCTTTCCCGCCGACACGGGGGCCTTGGATGTGCTTTTCTCTCCCAACGGCTCCCCCACGTTCAAAGGGAAGCATGGGTCTCAGCGGTCAGGGCCCCGATAGCTGGGCCTCCCTGTGGACAACTGCTTGGGGAGGTCAGGAAGTAGAGTGGTGTTCCTTGGGATTGTCCCTCTGGTTTTCTGCCCCTTTAGCCCCTGCGGTACCCAAGGACCAGGGGTGGGAGCCTGAGAGAGAAACCCCTGCATTTGTACCCCCCTTCCTTCTTCTGCGGCAACTACACCTCTCTCCCCTTGGTTCTTCCTCCCCTTTGGGGGGTTGCTTACTCTCAACAGCGGAGGGGCCAGTAAACCCACACCAGCTAGGGGATCAGGGATGCCAGGGCCCACCCCAACTAGGCCTTAAATACATTGCTGGTTTCTGAGCCTCAGCTTGCCCGTCTGCAAAATCGGGGCGCAGAAGAGACGGGTCTGAGACGCCAGCCGGCTCTGACACCCTAAGACTCCCAGCCTGCCGCTCTCTCTGCACGGTTTGTGACTTCCCTGGAAGCCGTAAGCAGGAAGGGCAAAGTCTCCAGGTACACAGAGCCTGCTTTGTCGGCTGCTTAAACTCCTGCAGGAAAGAATTCACCCTTTCATTAGGCTCTTCTTCCAACAAGGAAATGGGCTGAAGCCAGCATGACCATGAGTCATAGCGTGAATCCAGATCCACGGGCAGACATTTAAAGGAGGCTCCTCTGCCGGGCTACCCCACCCATCCCCACCAGCACCACCGGCCGCAAACAGCCTCCGAGTCAGGGTCTGCCTGTCCCGCCAACAGCAGGGGCAGGAATCTCAACAGGAAAAGTAGGTCTGCGTTGTGTGTTGTAGTTGAGAGCTGGGAGGAGTCCGATCTTTAGAAGAGGTGCATGGAAGGGTGATTACACCCCCATTTCACAGTTGTGGAAGGTGAGGGCCAGAGAGAGTCTGGCTGTGCCCGTGTCGCACGGAGTGGGGGCCGCCTGACCCCAGCCAGCTCTCTGGCTGCACCTGGAGTCGCTGCCAGGTTTCAGTGAGTGATGCCAGGCCCGTGACTCAAGGGGGATGCTCAGGAAAGGAGGGGAGACGAGCCTCGCAGGCTGTGGGCTGGGGCAGCCGGCATGGTGCTGGGGCTGCAGGAGGGGGCAGGGCCGGGAGCCCGGCACGGCCGTCCTGGGTAGCTCAGACACTGTCCAGGCCCTCCTTCCAATTTCCCTGAACCCTTCAGTCCCTGACACCCCCGGACCCCTTGTCCCTCCCCCTGGGCCACCTGTGGATGTGATGACTCAAGCCTGACTCTCAGCTCCCTGCAGCCTCTGCTGTGCCTCAGGCAGGACTGTCAGACTCCAGGTGTGGCCGAGGCGGGCAGCCCAGGAGGAGCCTCTGGGGTCAGTGGTTGACAGGATGGCCGAGGGAAGCAGGAAACAAGCAGGGCAGGGAGGGGAAGGCACGTGCTCGGCCGGGAGCCAGAAAGCCCAAGAGCCCCTCCCCGTGACGCGGGGCCACAGCCCCATTCTGACAGCTCCGAGAACCGAACCCTGGGCTGAGAGCTTATGAGGGCGGCCCTCCACCAGGCACCAGCCATGCACCAGCAGCTTCTCCGAGGCTTGAAAGGACAGAAGGTGCCCTTCAGTCTCCCTCCTTCCTTCTTCTTGCCCTCTCTCCCCGCCTCCCCACCTCTTCTGTCTAGCTCTTCCTTTCTCCCTCGATCTTTACAAGAAGCTGGTGAGGCATGCAGGATGGGATTATGGCCCCATTTGACAGATGGGTGAGGTGAGGCTCCGGCCACTTTCTCCACCTCCCTTCCCTCTGTATCCTACCAAGGTAAATCCTGAACCAGGAATAACATGTTTGGGCCTCAGACCTTCCTGAGCGGAGACGCTTCTCTTAGACTGGCCACCAAAATCTATAAACCACGTGGTGCAGCTGGGGAGGAGGAGCTCTCCCGGCCCCACAGCCATTGCCCCTGGACCATGGAGCTGGGGTAGAGGTCCAGGAAAGGGGGAAGGGTTTCAGGCCTGTGGGGCCGGGACAGGGTGGGCCTAGTTCTTGGCATCTCCATTTTCTTCTGGTCACTTCTACCCGGTTCACTTGATAAGCACGTCCTGAATGCCCGGCCTATTGCCACTGACCAGTTGGCCCAGAGACGGCCAGGTCAGGTGGAGTGGGAGGTTCTCGCCCACCAGGGACCCCGTAGCCAGAGGGATGGGGACGGGTCACAGACGCAGCCTGCTCTAAGGGGGTGCAGAGGAGGCATCTCGGGGGCATCGGGGCCCCGGGGGTGTTACCAGCCCGTTGGGTGGGAGGGTGCATTGTGGACCACCAGAGACCCTGCCCTGTGCCTGCTTGGCTGGCCTGGGCTTCTGCCCCTGTCCATCAGAACCCTCTGCACACTGCTTGACGTTTAAGGCTGGGGGGTGGTGGCCCCCCGTCTTGGGCTCCCTGGCTGTCCCTGTGCCAGGGGCACAGAGCGGGCTGAGGGTTTGGGCTCAGGTGTCCCTGGGCCTGGCTCCCACAGGACTCCTGGGACTCTGTCCAGGCATCTCATTTCAAATGCGGATGTGTTCCTCTTGACCAGGCACCTCTCCAAGCGAGCCTTACGCATTCCTCAATTCTGGCCTCTGCTCTTTCCTGGCTGGAGGGTGGCCCAAGTCTTTCCTCCACTCTGCGCCATCTAGAGATGGCTGGTAAATGGTGCAGCGAAGGGATTCGCCGCCTTGCAGAGGCTCCTTGCTCCCTAGTGTCCGGGAGGTTCCCAGTCGTGAAGGTCCAGGTGGGCCGGGAGCCAGGAGACATGGGACACCTGGGCTGAAGGGGTGAAGGGGGCGGGGTGTGGGAAGTCGGAGGCAGCCCGGAGGCACTGAGTGTGCTGTAGGAGGGGGACAGGGGAGTTCCTGCACTGAGGTCCTCCCGGTTGCTGCTCAAGGCTGTCCCCTGAGGTCTTGCCTCTGCTCTGCCTGCTCCATGCTGGGGACACTCAGCGATGGAGGGGCTGAGGCACGGCAGAAGTCCCTTGGACGGTGCAGCTCTGTCCTGGGCTCGGCCCCTGGGGCAGGTGCTGCCTTCAGATATGATATACCAGGGAGCCTAACTTCCCTAGAAGGGCTCACCCTCGTCCCCCCACCATGTCCCAGGGGATCTGGTTGAGCAGCCACTCTCCTCCTTTGGAAGAACCAGCCACATCTGCAGGCCATCCCGGAAGTAGGAGGATGGCAAGGGGTGGGGGGTGCAGACCCCACGGCGCCCCCTGCCCCTTGTCTCAGAGCTGGGCGGATTAATTTTTGTTCAGTTCACTGAGCACCTGGCCCATCAAGAACAGGTAACTGTTCAGGAGCCCCGTGGAGCACCGAGCATGACAGGAGTGTGTTTCACGTCTGTGTTGGTGCATCTCTGTGCTCTCTGGTGGGCACAGTCCCTGCCCCTTGGATTGCTCTTCCTCCCTGTGCACCTGCTCCCATCGAAGTTTCTGGAATGTAATGTTCTCATCCCAAGCCTGGAACCAAGAGGAAACGTTTATTAGACGATGGGGCAGGACAGCAGCCTCTGCAAATGGTACTCTCTGCATTGAAAACTTTGAAACCTTAAATCCAGTCCAGCGAGCGTGTTGGGAGCAGCTGGGACGATCGAGGCACAGTGTTGGGGGAACGGCGTGCCAGACCGCACCTTTCGGGACAGATGTGCAGCAACTGTAGGTGTGACACGTGACCGTTCCCGTTTGCTGAAAAACGCTGCTGAGTGGAGCAGGCCCACAAGAGTGGGCAGGAGGCATTTTGCGGTTTAGCGGAAAATAGGTGGCAGTTAATTAAAACGTAAAAAAGTGTCTTTATTAAAAAAAAAAAACTGGACTGTTTCCTATGGATGAAGTTTTGGGGTGATGGGGGGGGTCTGGAGCCGGCGGCCAAGAAAGAATTCTTCAAGATATCTTTGGTGCAAAAAGGCGATTTTATTAAAGCACAGGGACAGGACCTGTGGGCAGGAAGAGTTGCACTGGGGTCGTGATGGGTAACTGATTGTATATCCTCAGGTTGGGAGGGGGGCAGGGATAGGGTAGGTCTGTAAGGAATTTTGGAAGCAAGGTTTCCAGGACCTTGAGGGGCTGGCTGTTGCTCAGGAAACACCACTTATTACCGTCGAGTAGAACCTCAGTCATGAGACCCTTCAGATGTAATCAGGGGGCCATAGGCTTAGAGTATGAATGCCAGCATATACCTTGGGGGAGCTGAGATAAAGGAAGTTTCCAAAGGAATTTGTTTTAAATGTCTATATTCATTTTTGAGAGACAGAGAGAGGCAGAGTGTGCACGGGGGAGGGGCAGAGAGAGAGGGAGACACAGAATCCGAAGCAGGTTCCAGGCTCCGAGCTGTCAGCCCAGAGCCCAGGGCTCGAACCCAGGAACAGTGAGATCACGACCTGAGCCTCAGTCGGATGCTTCACCGACTGAGCCACCCATGCGCCCCTCCAAAGGAATTTTTATTTGTTAAAGTAGACTTACAGGGTCCTCGAGGTTGGGATAATGATAAGCCAAGATTCCCTTTCGCCCCCAGCCAAGTGTCGTCATCGGGGCAGCTGAGCTCCTAGAGGGAGGTCACTTTGCCAGTTTCAAGGACTTGTCAGTGGGCTGCAGGCAGTAAGACAGTTTTAATGTCTCGTTTGCCTTAGCTTCCCACATCTCCGTGGCAAGCACTTAACCCCTGTCCTTGGTTGTTGGGCGGCCAGGAGTGTCCGAGGAATATCACACAGATGCCACCTGAGCTGGGGGGGGGGTTCTGTTAGCCTGTATTTTGCCCTCAGCTTGGCCCAAGTTCCCTCATCACTGTTGGGGTCTTTTACTTGCGTATTTATAAGATTTCCATGTATTAACACTGTGTCAAGCATGGTACATACATTTTGTCCAATTGAAAAATGTTGACAAATAAGTCAACATCTTTAGGTGATCAAATCAGTCTGTCAACGTAGGTCCTCGCTTGGGTGGCACGGTAGACTTTGGGGTTCCTCCCCAGCATCCACGCCACGCCTCCCTTGTTGGGAAGCAGTCACAACATTTGGAAGGACAGACTCCCATCGCCCCTTTGGGGTAGACCATGCCAATGGTGGTGTTCCCCGGCCACAGTGATTGGCTCAGGGGTAGGCACATCGTCCAAGTGGGCCTACAGAGGCATCCTGTGACCTCCAGGGCTCATGGTCTGGCTGTTCAGTCCTTCTCCAAACTTCCATTCACCTCTGGGCTTGTTCCTCTGCACAGACCAAGGACTTCCCTTTTCAGTGTAAACCCACCCGAGCCAGATTTTCTTTCCTCTTTCCTGCACCTGCCAGCATCCTAACTCATGCGGGATTCAGCCCTAGGAAGTGGGGTGTTGCTAGGGGTAGACCCTAAACTCTAGAAATGGCCAAATTGAGGGAGGGAGGGAGCAGGAAGGAGGACCCCTCTCTTTCATGGGGGTAAAGTGGGAACTTTTGCTAGATGTCATGAAATATCATGGTGCCGAGTCATGGCCCCCTCCCCGAACCTGTGATCGTTACTGCATGTGGCAAAAGGGAGCTTGCAGGTGTGATTAAGTTAAAGGCCCTGAGATGGGGTGATGGCGCTGGGTGATCTGAGCAGGTCCTCGAGAGCAGGGTCTGGGAGGAATTGAAGTGAGAAGAGAGAGGCTGGAGCTTTCCAGATGGAGGCAGGGGCCACCAGCCACCCACAGTGGGCAGCTGCCGGAAGCAGGAAAGGCAAGGAAGCAGGCTCTTCCCCGGAGCCTCTGGAAGGAATGCCTCCCTGCCCACACCTTGACTCTAGCCCTTTGGTGAACCTGCATTTGGTCTTCTGAGCTCCAGCACTGTGAGGGAATAGCTTGTGTTGTTTTCAGTCGCTTAGCTGGTGGTCATTTGCTCTGGCAGCCCTAGGAGACCGGTACAAGCCGAACTGTCCCCTCCTCACTCAGGCGCGCAGGCTATGTCCCTGGAGACTGCAGCACCAGGAGAGTCAGCTGGAGCCCTCACACGGTGGAGGGGCCGAGGCCCATCTGGTAAGCTCCCGAGAGACACATCGAGACATCGCAAGCCTGAAACAGGCCCAGGTGAAGGCAGAGAAGCCAGAAAATACAAGCTGGCTGGGAGGGATCCTTTCTGCCCCTCCAAGATGGCCAGAGGTCCAGAACACCAAGCCTTCACTCCAAGCCAAGCTAATGCCAGCTGAGAAGGCAGGCTGCTGAGTTAGCAGGGAAGTCCTGGGGCGGGGGCCAGGAGGACACCCAGCCCGGCCCCGGGCCAATCCCCAGCACCTCCCCAGAAGCGTGACTCTGACCCAGAGGGCATGCCCTCTTTTTATGGGGTGCAGCTGGGGCGCAGTGCACAGCAAGGTGCATACACCCGACACTTCAGCACTGAGGCTATCGGTCCCGTGCCCTCGCAGCGGAGACCATCAGACGGTGGGTGGGTGGGGCGGCTAGGCTGAATACCACACCCTATTGCTAGGAGACCGAAATTTCTGGTTTAAATTCTACCCGCTGGTAAGATTTTGGGCTTTGGATCCCAGCCCTTGGACTTGACCAGAGACAGAGTGACTGAACTTTACCAAGATTTTAGGGGACGGGTATTGCTGTGGGTCATTTTGTACTGGGCTCTGTTTCCTTTTCTGCAAGGCGGGAGGTGTTAGTGTTCAGTGTGTAACTCAGCCTGAGGTCATTTGGCCACAGGAGGCCACATCCGACCCCAGCAGAGAGAGCATCACATCCACCAGACGTGTGGTGGTCACTCAGACAGACTCAGCGGGCTCCCTGTGGGGGCGGGCACTGCGCGCTGGCCGGCCATCTGCGAAGGTGAAGTGCAGGGGAGAGGAGGACCGGGGGGGGGGGGCCTTCCCGGGGGGGGGGCCGGCCGGGGGCGGGTGGTAAGGACCGGGTGATAGAAGGGCTGACCCACAGTGCTGTGTGTGGGCACTGCTAGTGTTCTCAGTGTGCTCGTCTCCTGTCTCTGCTACACAGAGGCAGCTGGGGGCCTTTTCTGCCTTTATGGGGTGCAGCTGGGGCACAAAAAGTGAGATTGGAGAGACAGGGGAGAAGGCAGCGGGACTCAAGACACTTTGCAGCCAGCAGAAGTGGCTTGGCTTTCGCAGAGGGCGATGGGGTCCCTGGAGCATTTGGGACAGGAGACGGCCACGTTAGGACTTCAGGACGTGGGCTGCAGAGGTGTGCAGAGGTGTGTAGGTGGGCGGGGAGGGGTGGGATGGGAGCAGGAGACAGGCCTGGAGGCCCTGCTGTCTGAGTCCCAGGTGAGGCTCAGGGCCCGCCTGCCCCGGCGTCTCCCCCCGCCACCCCCCCATGCCCTTGACCTCTCCCGCCTTGAGGAGCACCGACTGATACTTCCCCAGCCAATCGCCCTCCTCTCTGCAAACAGAAGCTGGAAATTGTCGTGGGCTGGGGCCTGTAGCTCGGATGGGCAGTGACTCCTCCCCTGGCCGCACAGGGGAAGTTCCAAGGAGTCCGGCCAGCAGCCCGCTCTCCCTAGTGATTGGGGCTGACTTAGTCTGTCTCACAAGGAAGCCGGCTGGGGGACTGCCCTTCCTGGATAAAACAGGACTTCTGGAGAGATCTTTTATCTTTTTATTTTTTTTTCTTCGGCCTCCTTCCCTCCCTTTCTGGCTGGGATACTGGCAGGAGCACATGATAGGTGGAGTTGTGACACCATCTTGTGACCACGAGGCAGCAAGCCTGAGCTTGGGGACATTTGTCTCATCTGAGACGGCGGATTTGAGGAATTGCTCCTGTAGGAGGCTTACTGGGGGATGGGTAATTTTTTGTGTCAGTTTGACTGGCCGTGGGGTGCCCAGATTGAGTATCATTCTGGGTATATCTGTGATGGTGTTTCCAGATGAAATTTGAATTTGAATTGGCAGGCCCAGCAAAGCAGACCCTCTTCCCAGCGTGGGTGGGCCTCAGGCAGCTCCCGAAGGCCTGAAAAGAGCACAAGAGGGAGGAGGGGGGAGGAGGAGTTAGGCTTTTTTCTGCCTCACCGCCTGGGCTGGGATTACTGTCCTCTTTCTCTGCCCGCACACTGGGATTACACCACTGGGGCTCCTGGCCGTCCAGCTTGCGGGCGCTGGGTCGTGGTGCTTCTCGGCCTCCACAGTTGTGCAAGCCAATCCGTCATAATAGATTTCCATTTACGCCCCACCCCCGCCTTGGTTCTGTTTCCCTGGAAAACCCTGACTAGTACGGACAGTGCTATGCTGACGACGTACTTGGGAGCCACGTTGGTGAGGGAGGGAGGGACGCAGGGCAGGACTGGATGAGCAGAAATTGAGCCACATGCAGGCACAGTGGCCTCATCTGGTCCATCCTGCCCGGAGATCCTGGAGCCGGGACAGCCCTTCAGGGATGGCTTGAGCTGAGGACAGAGGGCTAGGTCTTTGTCTCCTCACACCGGCCAGTCACCGCGTGTGGGATGTCCTAGGGGTGAGGCAGCTTCCTCGGACAGAGGACGGATGGTCCCCAGGGGGCACTCAGCTGGGCGTGGGCAGCACCAGCACTATGGCAGTGGGGACGGGGTACCTGGGTCCTGGGCGTGCACCCCAGCGTCCCCTACATCCCTGAGCGGCTCAGCCGCTATAACATTGCAACAGCCTCTCCCCGCTGGCCTTTTTGTGGGCAGGAAGCAACGTTCAAAGCACTGCTAGGCCAGCGTCCCTTTACTTTTGGTCGAAGGCATCATCCAGGGTAAGCCTTGGACCTCGGGGCACTCCGGTGAGTGAGAGAGAAAGGAGGCAGAGGGCACAGCCTGAGCAGTGAAACGGGTGTGCAGTGACATGACTCGGCCCCGAAGCCTCCCTCCAGCAGCAATGGATGCCACACGTCCACACTGCGGGGGCGGAGGCTGACACCCCCCCACACCGCCCGCCTTTACTCGTCGCTTTCAGTGCTGGGAGCTGATCGCACACTCTGTAAGATGGGAGTCCCTGCCACTGTCCTCCAATATCCATCCCACCATCATTCGGTAACAGAGCTTCGGATAGGTGGGAACGGACGCCCAGGCAGACCACACTGCCTGGCCTCCCCTGCATGTAGGGTCGTCACGGGGGATGTGAGTGGAGGCAGTAGGGGGCAGCCATTCACGGACATGTCCTCTCTGTGTGGCGTCTGACCTGTCGACAGGAGGCTCTGTGCAACCTCGTGCTGGTGCTGGGGACCCACTTACGGCGAAGGAGGTGGGGGCGGTGAGGGGAGGAGGGGACCCACCGGTCCCCTAACACACCACACGGCCCAGAAGCTGCTGGCCCAGCGGAGCAACGAAGCTGCCTTTCGGCTCAGAGTTGATAGCCTGTGAGTGGGGGCGTCTGACATGTGTCTCCTCTAAGTATAGACTTGGGTGCGGGAAGCAGGGGGTGGAGGCAGGAGTGGGTCTGCCCACCAACGCTGTCTCCAGGGGAGTTTGTCCGGTTCTCACAATCCCGACCTCTTCTAGAGGGCGAATGCTTCCAGAAAGGGATGTGGTAAGAGTCTGATTCAATGCTGGGTCACGGCTCCTTGCGCCAGAAGACTAGCAGGTCAAGGAAGGGGTCTCCTCGCGGCCACCGGAGGAGGTAGGGATGCTGCTGCCCGGGGGCGGGGGCGGGGGCGGGGGTGGGGCGGGGGGAGAACACGTCTGGCACCTACCTGAGCCTGCCTCTCTGCCCAGTTTTGATGGTGTGTGGACAAGCACAGCAGCCGTGACCTGAGAAGGGTGTGTTGACCGAGGTTCTAAAGCCTCTAGGATGAGAGTCCGGGCCGGTCCACCAGGTAGCTCATCTAGAACAGGAGAGATGCTACTCGGTGGAGGGAACCCACAGTGCTGAGGGCAGAGGGGCAGGAAGTGGAGGGACAGGGTGAGCAGCTGCTGTGGCCCCAAGATTGCATCAACCTTCCTCTTGTAAATTTCCACAAAAGGGAGCAGCCAGAATCCTGGAGACGCTCTTCCGACGGTGACCCCTGTGGCTGGTGGGTCTGAGGGGCACCAAGGTGGACCGTGGTTGGCATTACGGCGTGCTGCCCAGATTCGCCCCTCAGAACGAGGGCTCTCATTCCCTCCGTGGCTGGGAGTATAGGCTGCCGATGGCTCAGAGAAGTCCCTCCTGGGGACCTGCCCTCAGCTGCGGGCCACCCCTTCCCCGGACGCAGCCCCGTGCAGACTGGCTTGTGCACGGTGCAAAGGCTCCACCCTCTGGTCTCAGTTCAGGACGTCCCTGTAGGGCCAGGTGGCCCCTCACCAGTCAGCCTCTCCTCCCCGAGCAGCAGCCTGCATGCAAGGGCCTGTCTCTCAGGGAGCCCAACCTGTGTCTCCTAGAGCCTCGCCGAAGCCTCGCCTGTTACCCAGCACTCTGGTCTTGTCTTGTGTCCCTGCTGCATCAATGACGCTCCCTCGACCTGGAACCACTCCTTGCATTTTGTCCCTTCACCTTAAACAGAAGTCACAGATCTGATCGATTGTCCTGACCCCGCCAGGCCTCCCTGTGAACACTCACCGCTCATTCATTGTTGCACGAATGCAGGCTTTTCCAAGAGTCTGCTCACGGACACAGCAGTGGAGGCTCCGTAATCATCACGTGTTGTCAATCATTTCGTCGACATCCGGAGAGTCATAAATAATATAACAGCTGAATACACTCCATCTGCCAGAAGAAATAAAGCGTGATAATAGCATTGAAGCCCCCTGAATGCCTTACTGATTAAAGTCCCCACCAATACCCAGAGGAAACCACTCTCCTGAATTTGGTGTTTAGCATTCTTTTAGTTTAAAAAGATGGAGTTAAATACCACATGCATTCACGTTCAACGTTTTTTCACTCAATGTTGTGAAATTCGTTTATGTTGATGTATTTACAGTTATTTTCTTACCATATAGCATCCTATTGGGTACCTATGTATCATTTATCAATTCTCCTATAGATTATTTTATGATTCCCCCCTACCCCCCAGCAGTTACAATGAACGTTCCTGTCTTTGCACACATAGGCGAGCTGCTCTGGGGTGCACACCAAGATTGGAATTGCTGGGTTGTAGGGTATATGCATCCTTAGCCGCTAGAAATTGCTGGATAGCCGTCGAGAGTTAGTGAATCAATTTCCACTCCCACCGGCAGCGAATCAGAGTTCATTCCGCACTGCTCGCAAATCCACGTCCTCACCAATTTGGGCACTGACAGGTTTTAAGCTTTTGCCCATCTGTCCGGGGTGAAATGTCACGTCCTTGGTTTTAATTTCTTTCAGCCTAAATCTTAGTGAAAGTAAGCTTCTCGTGTTCGCTGCTCAGTAATTATCTGCTGCACAAATGAGTACGAAAAGCTCCACTCATTCATTCTGTGTTCACGCATCTGTCCTCTTTGATGCCTGCAGAGACCCCATTCCTACACCCTCCATAGGCTAGACTTTGGCTTATACACCTGGCCTTCTACCAGACGCTCCTTTCACATGCCCTCTGGCCCAAAAATCCACTTCTGGAGCTTGTCTCGTTGCTCATGATGCTGACCTATTCTTGTGACTTTGCCCTGGCAGGTCCTCCCGTCCCCTTGTCTGGAGACTGATCTGTCCTCTAACCTACTGCTTGGCTGAGGCTGAGGCCTTACCTCTGTGACATCAACCCAGTTCATCCTCAAGCAGTCATAAACCTAGGCTGCAAACAGGCTGACCTCTTGCTCTTCTGTTCCTGTCGTGGCACTGCTAACTCTTTTGCTCAGTGGGTCTTGAAGCCTTCATCAACCTTGGTATTGGTCTGGCTCCTTCTCCTAAGAGATGTGAGGCAGGAAAGCATCCTCAAGCTACAGGGACAACCGATCTAAGAGGTCATAATTGCATCCAGCCAGTTGCTAACTACTGTCCATTTTCCCTATGTAAATTCTACTTCCATCATGTTTGCCCTGTCACCTTGCAGACTCTTGCAACAAGCCGGAAAAGCCGCTGAAAACCCCTAAGGTCTCCAGTGATGTTTGTAGGGGACCCCTGATACTGTTAGGAGCCAGTCTCCTAGGGGGATTTCTGAGGCCTCAGGGCTGTACAGCAGGGAGAAATCCCTGGGGCCTTCCTGAGCTCCACCAGGAGAGAATCCCATGAGACTGCCTGAGGCCGTGGCAGGAAGGAGCCCCTGAGGATCCACTGAATCTTTATTAGATCTCTGGAGATTCTCCGAGGTCGTGTAAGGACAGGATCTCAGGAGGGTTCATCAGGCTATGCAGCACAGGGGTCCTGAGAATCCACTGAGGCTGTATCATCAGGGGATCACCAAAGATCCATTGAGATCGCCCCAGGGAGAAGATTCCTGGAGAGTTTCTGTGGAGACTAAAGGGGATCCCTGGAGAGTTCCCGCAGTTGTCATTCACCCAATAAACATTTCTTTTTTATTAAAAATTTTTAAATGCTTATTTATTTTTGATTGAGAGAGACAGAGGGTGAGCAGGGGAGGGGCAGAGATAGAGGGAGACACAGATCCGAAGCAGGCTCCAGGCTCTGTCTGAGGTGTCAGCACAGAGCCCCATGTGGGGCTTGAACTCATGAACCATGAGATCACGACCTGAGCTGAAGTCAAGAGCCGGACGCTTAAAGAACTGAGACACCCAGGCACCCCCAACAAACATTTCTAGAGGCAGAAGACACAGGCCCCAACCCGCAGGATCTCACAAGCCACCTGTGGAGACAGATAAATGTTGCAGGCCGGGTACTAGCAGCTGCGAACAGCCCCGCTATCGCCAAGACAGGTCTAAGCCTCAGTGTGGCGAGAGGGAGAGAACCATTGTGCTCTTCCAGAAGGAGGCAGCCTTTCCCGGGGGTGGTTGGCGCATGGCTGAGGGCATGCACACAGAGCACCTTGTGCAGCATCTTGCGCTTGGCAAGCGCAGAAGCAATGTTGATTATCGACAAGCGAGGCAAACTTTAATCAGAGAGCATAATCAGATTTGTGTTTCACAAGAGAACTGGCGGAGGCGTGTTAAGGGGCTCCCCAGGCGCAGTGCCAGTCTGCAATGCCAGACTCCTTGGTCTACGGCCAAGGGAAGGTAGTGCTAGCAGCACAAGCAATTTCACTTTCCGGTGGCTACGTTAAAACAACAACAACAACAAAAAGGTAAAAGAAAACGAGAAAATAATTTCAGCAATATATTTTACTGGATCCAATATCTGGATTTTACTGGATCCACCCCCGCCGTCTGGTCCAGCAGCGGAGCCTGGAGGCGGGCGCGGGTGCCACACCGCCGCCGGGACAGCACAGGCAGGCCCACAAGCCACCGCCACCGCCACCGCCACCGCCACCGCCACCGCCACCGCCACCTCGCTTCCTCCCCGGCGTCGCCCTTTAATGCCGTCAGCGCCCGCGCCGTGCGTCACGCGCGCCTGGGAGGGGGCGGGACTTCCGGACGCGCGGAGGCACAACTTCCGGAGGGAGGCGGAAGAGCCTCTCGGCTCTGGACTCCGGAGTCCCGGGACAGCTGAGGGGCTCCCCCGGGGTACAGGAAAGGGTCGCCGGGGTCGGCCGGCTGCATTCCGGGTGTCGGGGCCGTGAGTCCGAGGGATGAGGAGGGGCCATGGCCAGCGACGGGGCCAGGAAGCAGTTCTGGAAGCGCAGCAACACCAAAGTCCCGGGCAGGTGGGTGTGACGGGGAGGCCGGGTCGGGGTCAGGGGTCAGAGGTCAGGTGGGCGCGTCGGCCGGCTGGGCTGCGGGTGGAGTCGGGGTCTGGGGGCGGGGGTGACCTGGGCGGGGGGGGGAGGACGGGGGGGGAAGGGGGGGGGGTGGGGGACCTGGGGGTGGGGGGCCGAGCTTAGGGTCTGGGAGGTGACAGAGGGGCTGCGCGAAGCAGCTTCGAGGCTTGAAGGGAGGAGGAGGGGGAGTCGCCGGCAAGTTTGTCCCGAGACTGGCAGGCTCCCTTCTGCGAAACTGCCGGGCTCCCTGGGCAAGTCGAAAGGCACCGGCTCGGGTCGTGCTTCGGTCGTGCTTCGAAGAGTTCGGTGGAGTCCGGAAGGTGGCCCCAGGCTGTGCTCTGTGGGACGTCGGTTTCTGGAGGGGGCGTGGCGGTTTGACCCACTTGCGTGGCCTTCTCGTCTCTCTTGTGGACGACTGCTTTTGCCTTGAGCAAGGATTTGCTCGAGTGGATTTGGGACTCCCTGTGAATTTCCATGTATCCCACTTTCTGGCCTCAAAACCAACTCCTTTCTCGAGTCAGCAGCGGGAAGCAAATTTAAACAAAAATGAAAACAAAAACAGAAACAACTGAAGTGCTTGCAAAGGCCTGGGTGCACCCTGGAAGCTGTACAGCCAAAGTCCTGGTTGGCGTGTCACTGATCCCTGGCCGGGGCCCTAGGGGACGCGAAGACGGGACGTGGAAAATGCTTGGGATAAAATCAGCCGCTGGTGAAAATAGACTCAACAGATTTCAGGATTTCTGAACACGGTTTATTCCATTTGGAAACTAAGGTCTGACGTACTGAAAATGAGGAATGTGTGGCGTTCAAATGATTGCGTGTGGAGCCATTTATAAGCACAGCTCATTTGCAAGTGCTGTATTATAGGCACTGTTGTTCGTAAGCTTTGTAGTTCATTGTGTTCAGTCAGAAACGTTTATTTTTAGAGCTATTTGGGAGTTGGTAGAAGTGAGTTACTGTTTGCTCTGGCCCAGGGACTTGGGAGGGGATCCATCACCAGAGGCGGCCGGAGATCCTACTTTCCTCCCCAGGGCTGTGCTTGCTTGGAGCATGTCAGGGTCCGAGATGATGTGAAAATTCTGCAATGGCAGAGAATAGGAGGTCCCAGTAGTGACAGAGGCAGATGCTCTGGGACGTGGAGTCCAGGGAAGCTGAGCCACGTGCAGGAGAACTTCTGTGTCCCTTCTGGGTCTTTCTTGAGGCTTTGGTCTGAACAAACTCTTAACGGCCAGCTGAGCTGTAAGAACGTGGGGCTGCTGTGTGGCGTCGTAACGGCGAATACGCTTTGGATTGATGACTATCTCTTGGTCATTTGCCCTTGCATTGGTTGTAGTAGCGTCCCCCTCCCCCCAGCATTCCTCTCTCTCTGGAACCCGGGAACGTGACCTTGTTGGGAAAGTAGCATCTTTGCAGAGGGACTCAAGTTAAAATGGGGTCAGAGTGGATTAGAGGGAGCCCTTGTCCAGCGACTGGTCTCTTTCACGGAAGAGGGCAGTTTGGACGCACGGGGAAGACGTAGGGAAGGCAACAGGGAAGAGGAAGGCAGACGTGGGAGCCGTGCGCTCACGAGCCCGGGAATGCCAAGGCTTCCTGGCAACCAGTAGGAGCAGGAAGAGGCAAGGAAGGATCCTTCTGTGAGGATTTTAGACAGAGTGTGGCCCTGCCAACCCCCTGATGTTGGACTTGAAGCCTCCCAGACGGCCAGGATAGATTTCTGTCGTGGTGTGACGGCCACAGGCAGCTAACATGCCCCCCTCGGCTTTCTTCGTGAGATTCTGTGTCGCCGAAGACAGGCTTTCGTCGCCCTTGGGCTTTGGCGCTGTGCTTGGTCTTAGGCATTTTGGAGAGTGGCGCCCTTGTGGGAGTTTCTGGGTTGGAGTGGAGTCTTGGAGAACTGCCAGAGGCTGTGAGTGTGGAGGGCAGGGCACCGAGGAGGGGTTGGGGCCCCTGGCAAGGCCTGCCCAGCCGCTGCGCGCCCCGTGCCTCCCGGGGCCCTGCTGCTGTTGCCGGCAGCAGGCGTCGCCCGGGTTTGCCCTCTTCCCTCAGCGGCTCACCTTCCCGTGGTCATCACTTGGCACACACTCGGGCTTTGCCTGCACGGGCACAGCGCTGTCAGAGCTCCTGGCGGAGTCCTGTGGCTCTGCCCGTCCTGTCCGTGGTCCCCATGATTGTCTGACGCTTTGAGTGTGGACATGAGCCCAGGGAAACTCCACGGAGGAAGAACAGACTCACCACCCAATACAGGGCTGTTAGGGGGTCATTTATACGGCACAGCCCTTAATGCCCCTTAGTCATGATCCCCTCCTCATGCGTCCTTGTGACAATAATGGCTGGTGGCCACGGAGCAGTTAGTGTTTGCCAGGCAGTTCCTGGTGCCCCGCAGTGTTGCATCTCCTTAGTGTTGTAGAGTCACAGAACGGTGCTCTGTCCTCCAGCTGACGCTCCCTGGGGGCAGGCTTGGGTTAGGGCCCTTGGTTGTATCCCCCCCGTAGTGCCATGTGGGGAGGCAGAGTAAGGCCCTTCATAACCCGACCCCTGCCCAATTCTTTAGCCACATCTTGCAGCCTTCCTTGCTTTGACCTTTGCCCTCAGCGGTGCGGACAGGCTTGCGGGTTCCTTGGCATACCTGCTGTGATGCCTCGGTCAGTTTCATGCCGTCAGAGCGGACCAGAATGTTCGTTCCCTCTCTTTCCTCCCCTTTGCCTGGCTTATTCAATTTCCTTAACTTTCAAAGTTCGCCTCCAGTGTACCTCCTCATAAAGCCTTGTGTGTTTTCGTGCAGCCTGGACCAAACCTTTCGTGCGTCAAACCCAGCATTGTTGGTATGTGTTCTCTGGACCGTGCGCTCCGTGAGTCTCACGACTGTGCCTTGCTCCCCTTTGCATTGTTAGTGCTGACTGACGGGGGTTGATTCGAGCCTCCTTCCAGATTAACCTCGAGGGAATAGGGGATTTGGGCAGGGGCTCACACTGCGCGAGAGGTGGTCTTGCCGGTGGGCCCCCACTCCTCTGCACACCTTGGACCGTAGATTGTCTGTCTGGCTGGTGCTTTCTTAGGGATTTCTCTTCTGGATGAGGCAGGATGTGTGATGTGGCGGAAAGACCTCTGGCTTGGTTCTGTGGTCCAGGTTTAGCCTATTTTTCCTGTTCCCTCTGTGTGACTTTGACCAGGTCATGTCACCTCTGGGGCCCTCGGTTTCTGGACGTATAACCTGATGAAGCTGGGTTAGACTTAAGTGGCTGGGGCCCCCAGGCACATATTTGTTTGGTCTAGTCCGATTCTCACTCTCTCTTTAAAAAATTTGTTTTAAATTTTTTATTTTTGAGAGAGAGAGAGAGAGAGAGAGGGAATGAATGAACAAATGTGAGTCGGGGCGGGGCAGAGAGAGAGAGGGAGACACAGAATCCGAAGCAGGCTCCAGGCTCTGAGCTGTCAGCACGCAGTCCCATGCAGGTCTCGAACTCCAGAACCATGAGACCACGGCCTGAACTGAAGCCGGACACTTAACCGACTAAGCCACCCAGGTGCCCCTAGTTTGATTCTCTTTGATTCTCTTTGACGAGCGTGAGAGAAGGCCTCTTGGACCAGCTTTGAGAGTTTGAAAATTTGTTCATTCACCAGGTATTTGTTTAACCAACACTCTGTGCCAGGAACAGGTGCTAGAGATACACCAGTGGCCCAACAGATCTGAATCTGTGCTCTCACAGGGCTTACGTTGGAGCAGGAGGGGCAGGGAATAAATACCGTGACTGCATGAGGGGGAGAGTTACCCCTGAGAAGACGGTGGTTGTTCCTGAAACGTACAGCAGAGAATTGGGATAGACCCTTCGGAGGCAGGCAGGGAGGGTGGGGAGGGTCTCACAGAGCAAGATTTGCAGGAGGTGAGTGCACAGGCCCCTCGGGTGGCTGGAGGACCGTGGTCTGGGCAGAGGGCGAGAGAGCGCAGAGCCCCCTGTCAGGAGTGACCCCGGCGGGTTTGGGACGAACAGGGGGCCTGATGACTGTAGCCGAGGGAGGAGGCAAGAGAGTCACGGGGCACGAGATCCGGCTGGGGGTGGGGGCGGGTCTCGCGGTCACAGCGAAGAAAAGACGTGGGCTCTCAGTCTCTTATTCTGAAGCGGGGACACTGCAGGGTCTCGGCAGAGGGGCGGCTGGAGCTGCCTCTGGTCTGGCAGGATCACTCTGGCTGCTGAGTGGGTGGTAGGTTAGGGGCCAGGAGGGCAAGGGCAGCGGCGGGGAGACGGGTTAGGCTACTGGGAACACCCAGGTGAGGGGTGCCGGTGGCGCGAGAAGGATCAGTCAGCGGGTGGCGGAAGGTTCGGTCTCTGACTCTCCGGGGCCGGTTCTTTCTGGGGCCGTCGATGCGCTTGGCTCCCGAGGGGTCTGCGGTTGCAGCTGGCCTTCTCGCCACGCTTCGCTTGACATGCCAGGAGCTCGTCGCACGCTGGCTGTGAGAACACAGGCAGCCTTTCAGCGTGGGCCCAACGCTCGCTGTCCCGGCTCGGCAGTGTGCTCGGCTCGCGGGAGGGCGTGCGGGCAGCTGGGGCCCGTGAAGGGTGACATTTGTGAGTGGGATGGCGGCAAGCAAGGCCCGGTTTGAATATGGCAAGGCTGTGGGTGCCCGGGGCGGAGCTGGGGCAGAGGGCGACGCGCGGTCCGGCCGCCACGGCCCGAGGAGTCCCCGAGCCCGTGAGACGTGAGCTCCACGGTCATCTTCACGGGCCACCGTCGCTCATCGACTGAGGGGAGGATTTGTCGGGATCACCCGTTCATTCAGAACGTCCTTCCACGTGTCAGGTACCACGCGGAACCGAGAGAGGTGGCTCGCAGGCCGTGGGTGAGGGAGACCGCACGTCAGTTCGCGCGGTGCGAAGGGCTTCGAAGGCAATCCCGGGGAAGTGTTCGCAGAAGAGCGGGACACCGCGTGAACGGAAGGCCGTGCCCTCCCGGGAGAGGTCCTGCCTAACTTGAGGTGGCACCAGCCCGTACAGATGCGGGGATGCAGGGGCGGGGGGCGTCAGAGCACTCCTGCTGGGACGGGCGCACTGTAGGGACACCAGGGGCCGGGGAGCAGCACGCCGGGAGGGGAGCACTGTGAGATGAGCCTTGGGAGGGGTGCAGGTCTTGGAAGGCCATGGAAAAGAGTCGGGTGTTGATCCAAGAGCCGTGAGGAAGCACCGAAGGATGTCGCTACGGTCCTGTCCATCCTCCTTGAGGAGAGGGCGAGAGAGGGTGAGGGTGAGGGCAGGGGCTGCCGCTGGAGTCGAGTGCGTGGGCTCAGGTCCCAGGCTGCAGGCGGGGCTCGCGGGACGCTCTGATGGCCTCCGTGTCGGGGGCTGAGGTGGTCACCGGGGTTCTGGCCAGAGGGATGGGGTGTGGTGGGCAGAACAGTGGTCCCCAAAGGTGTGCACGTCCTCCTCCCTGGAACCAGGAACCTGGAACCAGGTCGCACGGCAGAGGAGAGTGAAGGGTGCACATCAGCTGACCCAGAGACCGCAGATTCTTCTGGATGACCTGGTGGATCCAGTGGGATGCAGTGAGCTCTTCAAAGTGCTCAGGGTCAGCAGGAGATGAACTCTGGTCTGCGGTCGCTGGCTCTGAAAACGGAGGAAGGGGCCACGAGCTCGGGGGGTGTGGTGGCCCCTGGAAGCTGGAGCATCCTTCTCCTGACAGCCAGCAGGAGCCCCAGGCCTCCAGCCGCAAGAAACTGCATTCTGCCAACAACCCGAATGAGCAGGGAGTAGATTCTCCTCAGAGCATCCAGAAATGAACGCAGCGGCCAGCACCTAGACGTTAGCCTGGTGAGACCCGCCTGGGACTGCCGACTGCCGGACTTTAAGATAATAATCGTGTGTGTTTAAGCCGCTGTTTGTGCGAGTTTGTTACGGCGGCCACGAGGGCCCCTAAGCGGGGAGCGGGAGGATCAGAGAAGTGTGCTGGGGGGATGCCGGGTGGGAAGGGCTGTAGGTAGCCCTCTGCACCTGCCCCTGCAGTCCTGCCCTTGAGTGTGGACGGGGTAATAACTCCACCAGTCTTCGAGGGTGGGCTGGCCTCTCTCTGGCAACTTCTGCAGAGTGCGCTTAGTGTCAAGGGGCTGGAACGAAGCTGGGACAGCCCTCCCTGCGTCTTGTGTGCTCTTTGGTCCGAGACTTGGCTGGAGGCCCTGTCTCTTTTCCCAGAAGCTCTGAGCTGCTGCCTTGACCGACTCTTGCTTGTGTTTTTATTTTTCTTCGTTTATTTAAAGAAAAAAATATTTTTTTTGATGTTTATTTTTGAGAGACAGTGAGAGTGAGAGACAGACAGAGCACGAGCAGGGGAGGGGCAGAGAGAGAAGGAGACACAGAATCCGGAGCAGGCTCCAGGCTCTGAGCCGTCAGCACAGAGCCCGACGTGGGGCTCGAGCCCACAAGCCGTGAGATCGTGACCTGAGCTGAAGTCGGACGCACAACCGACTGAGCCACCCAGACGCCCTGTTCATTTATTTTTTAATGTTTCATTTATTTTTTGAGAGAGAGGGAGTGCAAGCACAAGAGGGGCAGAGAGAGGGGGACAGAGGATCTGAAGAAGGTTTGATGCTGAGAGGGTGACAGCAAGGAGCCCGATGTGGGGGTCGAACTCACAAACCGTGAGATCGTGACTTGAGCTGAAGTCAGATGCTCAACCGACTGAGCCACCCAGACGTCCCTCTCTTGTTTTTAGAAACCTGTTTATTTCCTTGTTTGCATTTTTGTTTTTGTTTTCAGCATTTATTTATTTTGAGAAAGAGAGTGTGTGTGTGCGCACAGGAGGGGCAGAGAGAGAGAGAGGGAGAGAGAGACTCCCAAGCAGGCGCCACACTGTCAGCGCAGAGCCCAACGCGGGGCTCAGACCTACAAACCCTGAGCTCATGACCCGAGCCAGAGTCAAGAGTGGGACGCTCAACCGTCTGAGCCACCCAGGCGCCCCATCCTTGCTTGCCTTGCTTGTATCCTTGACGTGGCCGTCTGGACCGCGGGCCTGCTTATTCCTCTTTTTCTGTGTTGCAAGGAGCGGGGCAGTCCGCCCCAGTAGGGATTCTGTCCCATGGGCGTGGGTCTCTCTGGTCTCTTCCAGTGCAGAGTCCTGTGCACAAGTGGGTGGGTTTTTGCTGTGTACCCGGTTCGTTTTGCTTGTGTCTTAGCAGTCCTCTGTCGTGTTAGTTTGTCTGGAAACGTTTTGAAAAATAAATTTGATGTGAATACATATTTGTCTACTGCAGCGAATCTAGACTCTTATGGGTTAATTTTAAGTGAGGCCAGAAATGATTAAAAAATAAACAAATCCCTGATGATTTTGATTAAAAGTTAAAAAAAAAAAATGAGAACACAGGGAAGTCTCCCATTCCCCGAGTGCCGTGAAGGCGTGGTTGGAGGTCATGGGTGGGAATGGGTAGAAGGGCCCCGGGAGCCCATCTCTCTGGTTAGGCAGTCCACCAGACTGCCCCGGTGTGGCCCTGCCCTGCGTGTGGTGCAGATGAGGGCGGTGGTGCCGTGACCCGGGCAGTGAGCAACACCCGGCCCCCCTGCCCCGTCCTCTCCGGCAGCCCTGTCTGGTGACCGCTCCTCAGACACGCACGGCGTCAGTCTGGCCCTGCAGGCCCTTCGGGGCACAGCGTGGGTCCCGCTCAGGGCTGGGCTGCACACGGGACCCTGCAGACCTGCGGGTGGGGGGAGGCCCCGCGCCCGGCCCCGGGAGCGTGGACGGATGTCCCAGGGCAGGGTTTCGTGCTGCACCCCGGATGGGTGGCGTGGGCCTCGTCGTGACCGCGGCGCTCTGACGACGCAGCCCGCCTTCGGGCCTCCGCACCCGGGGGATTACGGACCGGGAGCTGACCGCCACTGCCGCCTCCGGGCCCTGCCCTCCCCGGCTCTCTGGGGACCAGGTGCCCGCGCTGGGACTCACACGGCTCGGGGCTCTGCGGGAGGGGACAGCAGACGAGATGTGGCGAGGTCAGGAGGCCCGGAGGGAACGGGGCAGCCTGGGTTCTTCCCATTTGTGGGACTTTCATTCTGAGTGCCCCGGTCTTTCTGTTCCCCTGTTCTGACACGCCGTTCCCTCTTCTCTGGGGGTTAGCGTGGAAATTCCGGGGTGCGTGCTGAGGGCTGTCAGCGAACCCAGCTGGTCCGAACGGCGTGCTGTCTTCCTGCAGGTGTGGCGCCTGCACGGCTGGGGAGCAAGCATGCCAGGCACCGAGCCAGCCCTGCCCGCGTTGGCCTCTCCGCGTGGACAGCGGTGCTGAGGGTGGGTCTGTCCCAGGCCCGTGGCTCTGGGCGCGTCGTTCAGGGCAGAGCCCTTTCTGCTTTCACGGCTCCAGACGTTTCTGGGCTCCCGACCGCATCAGCTTTGTTCCCCGGGGCGCCTCCCAGGCTGTGCTTGCGCGTCCTGGGTGCGTCCTGGCCCTGGGGTGCGCCCGCCGCCCCCGCTAGCCTGGCCGTCGTCCGCTGGGGCCGGACCGTCTGGACACAGTTCTTCAGTGTGCCGCGTGGCGGCTCGCCCTTGTTCCTGCCTACGCCCGCTGCGGTTTTGAAACGGCCCTTCTTTCAGTGAACGTTTGTGCTGAACCAAAATACAGAATACGGTTTGCTGTCTCTAAGGCTGACGCCCGGAGGAGACGGGCGGCGTTTAGTTCCTGCCTTCCGCACGGGCTCCTCGGCCAGGGGGACTGGGATCGTCAGAGGGCATCCGGCGTGACGTGCGTGGAGAGGCAGGGCGGAGGACGGGGTCTTGGAAAGGGGATGGGTCCCTCGGCGCCACTGTGGGCCTCGGAGGCAGGACGCAGCATCGAGGGTGCCGGTGCGCCCGCTTCTCTCGTTTTCTCGTGAGCCTGTTGGCAGGTGGGGAGGCCGCCCGTCGGCGGGGCCGTCCCCGGTGCTGCTGGGGTGGGGGCCTGGCGCCACCTCCCCTGTTCGGAGAATAGGCTGCCTCCGTGGACCGCAGCCGCCCGTCACTCTTCAGCCTGGCTGCCGTGGCGTGGAGCAGCCGGTGACGGCTCGGTGGCTGTGTGCCGCGCGTGTTGTTTGCTCTTTAGAATTACGCCCTCTCTCGGATTAGTTTTCGGTCCCCAAACCAGTCACTAGAGCCGTCGTGGCGTTTTAGGTCTCGGCCAAATGCGACTCCGTGAACCGCCCTGATGTTCGGCGGCCGTGACAGGGTCGGTCGGGCCCGGGGGGTGCGCGAGCGGGTCAGCGGGCGCTGCCTGCTGGTGTCCCGTGCCGAGGGAATGTGCCCTCCTCTGTGGAGCCTAGCGACTTGGTCAGATTTGCAGTGCCTCATCGTTCGGGCATTTGTGCGATGAAGAGGCACGAAATGTCGCAGGCGGTTTGGGGATGCCTTCTGTGTGCCCACCAGACCCTGCAGCTGCGAGGCCGGCGTTTGCCGGGGGGGCCGGACCCCAGCCCGGAGCCCGTGGGGTGCGGTGTGATTCCCGCAGCAGCGTGGGCACAGGAGGCACCTGCTGCTGGAGGGTGGGGGTGGCCTCAAGCTGGACCTTGAGGGACCGTCACTTCCTTTAGTCCCTTACGAGGTTGTGCGGGTGCTCTGTAGTCCCGGCCCTGGGGCCAGCCTTCTTGGCAGTGAGGGGGCCCGAATGAGGGCCCGGGTGAGGGAAAGGCGGACAAGGGCACTCCCGGCGGGCACCTGACGGACGGGGGCGGACGACCAGACAGAGAGCGCTGGAGGCCAGCACTGTGACGGGGGTACGCTGGCCCCAGCCGGGGGTGGCCATGTGGGGAGGTGCCGGAGGGGGGCAGAGAAGGTTCCGGTTGTTCCCCGAGGGCAAATGGAAGACCTGGCAGACTTTAAGCTGGGGAGCGAAGCGGACCTCTGACTGGCAGAGCCGAGGCTGGCTGGGGGCAGCTGTAGCTCTCTCTCGGGACAGTGACAGAGGGGAGAGTGTTCCAGGGTCTAGGGGGACGTGGAGACAGTCTGAATGCGGGTGGCCTGCTTGAGGGAGGAGGTGAGGGTGGCCCTCGGATCCTGGGATAGCTGTTGGTGGAGAGTGAGTCGCGGAAGGAGTTGGTGACCTGGTCCGGAGAAGAAACGGAGCCCTGATCCAGGGCGTCCTCCACGTCCCAGGGAGGGCGTGAGGGGTTGCAGGAGGCAGGGGCGCTTGTCCGCGTTCCTGCCTGGTTGGCGCTGGGTGTCCATGGCTGGACACTGAGAAGTGGGCGTGAGGTGTGGCCGTCGGGGCACAGCTGCGCTTTGTGGTGGACCCGCTGATGTGACGTGGGGAGTGTGTGGCCGGGTGGGCGGTGGTGCCCAGAGGCAGCGGTTTGAGAACCCTTCGCCTGCGGGTGGGCAGGCAGTGTCGGGAGAGGGCGTGGTTTCCGGTCCAGTGGGAGGAAGGCAGGACTGGGGAGTGGAGGTCAGGGACGCGCAGAGGAGTCCGGACAGGCTGGCAGGAAAGGGGGTGCGGTGTCGTGGGGGGTGGAGAGAGCAAGGTGGAGGCCAGGTGAGGGCGGGATTGAGGGGAGCAGCCGCGAGGGGATGGGCCGGGAAATGGGGCTCAGTGGGGGCTGCCACACCGCCCTGTCCTGCTGACCCCAGAGCCTTCTCTGTCCTTCTTCCTATTTCTGATGAATGCATGCTGCTTTTGCTTCGGTGGGGGGATGGTATTGGCTCCGGGCGTGCGACACAATGATTTGACACAGGTGTGTGTGTGCGTGTTGTGAACCCATCCCCACAGTCTGTCCTTAACGTTGGTCACCACGCATGGCGACAGATTGTTTTTCTTGCGATGAGAGCTTTTAAGATTTACTCTCTTGGCAGACTCTTAAAAACTGCGAATAAACTGAGGGTTAATGGGGGCGGGAGGGTGATGGGCACTGAGGAGGGCACCTGTTGGGATGAGCACTGGGTGTTGTATGGAAACCAATCGGACAATACATTTCACATTAAAAAAAAAAAGATTTACTCTCTTAGCAACTTTCGATTATGCGACACGGTGTTATTAACTACAGTCCCCGTGCTGCACGGCGTGTCCCCAGGACTTACTGATCTTGTCACCAGGAGATGGAACCTTCTGCCCACCTTCCCCCCTTTTCCCCCGCCCCCCCCCCCCCCGGCCCCGCATGTCTGACAGCCACCAGCCTGTTCTCTGTACCCATGTGTTCGCATACTGCTTTTCTCCTGTGAAGGAACATTTTATTGTAAACATGCTCATTTCCAAGATCTGTTTCAAGAGATGTCCACGAAACAGCTTGCTGATTGGCTCAGTAATTGCCCAAGTCCCTGCTGGGTTTTGGGGGCCACAGGGAGCTTGACAGGAGACAAGTCTCTGTCCCTTTCTCAGGGGACAGAGTGGAGTGGGGTGGCATGGTCGTTGGTGGTGGGACAGCACAGGAGGTGCTCTGGTCTGGGTCCGTGGGGCCGCGTGTTCTGCCGTTCCCTCCACGGGACGGAGGGTTTCAGATTGTGCTGCGGGGGCCGAGGGACATTGTTGCTGCTGTGTTAATGGTGCTTCCTACATTTTCCTCGGAAGCCCTCTAAAGTTAATATCCTTGGAAAACTTACTTCTCCTGAATATTTTATAAACCTGGGGAGCATCACTGCGTGTTAGGATGAGTCTGATGGTAAATCAGTTGCTAATTTAGTTCGTATTTCAGAAAGCTGTTGGTGAGCGCAGTGGGGGCACTGAGCCACGAGCGGGGGGCCGGCGGCCTGACCTGCCTGTTGACTTTACACGTCTGCGCCCCAGGAAGCATTTTGCCCTAAATGCAGTCATAGGATTTGTCGTTCACTTTCTGACGCTTAGGACATTTCTTTCCTCTCATGCTTCACTGGCTCGGCCATTTTCACCCACCGCTTTTTAAATTTTTTAAAATATATTTTTAATGTTTGTTTATTTTTGAGAGAGAGAGAGTGCGCA